GTGCAAATTACACAAGTCTATTTACAGGTTGAAACAAGCATCTAGGCAGTGGAATGCTAAACTCACCTCTTACATTGTTTCACAAGGTTTCAAGCAATCTAGATTGGATTACTCTTTGTTCACCAAGCAAATAGATGAATCATTCACTGTGTTACTTGTTTATGTGGATGATATAATTCTAGGGGGCAATGATCTGATATATATTGAACAATTCAAAAGGGAGTTGAATAAACATTTTAAATTCAAAGATTTGGGACTTTTGAGGTACTTTCTGGGGTTGGAAGTTGCAAGAACATTGAAGGGAATATTTGTCAATCAACGAAATTATGCATTAGACGTGCTATCAAATGCTGGCTACCTTGGATCTAAGCCTGCAAAGCATCCTCTGCTTCAGAACTTGAAGCTAGGTAAGGATGAGGGAGAACCCGTTAAGGATGCAAGTATTTACAAAAGAGTGATAGGCAGGATTCTGTACTTAACCATTACCAGACCGAATTTATCCTTCTGTACTTAACCATTACCAGACCGAATTTATCCTATGCAGTTCAAATGCTTAGCCAATTTCTTCAATTACCAAGGCAGCCACTTCTTGAAGCTGTCCATCATGTACTTAGATATCTGAAAGGAACACCAGCACGAGGCTTAATGCTTGAGAGCAAGTCAGATCTTTTGCTTAAAGGTTTTTGTGATGCTGACTGGCTGCATGTTCAGACATTAGAAGATCAATCACAGGCTATTGTGTGTTTCTAGGGAATTCACTGGTTTCCTGGAGATCAAAGAAGCAGCCTACTGTCTCCAGATCGTCTGCTGAATCACAGTACAAGTCTATGGCTGCGGCTGTTTGTGAATTAAGCTCGCCGAAGAATGTTCTTGGAGATCTTGGTGTAAACCACAACAAAGAAGCTCTCCTTTTCTGTGACAGCAAATCAGCCATTCATATTGCTAGTAACCCGATTTTTCATGAGAGGACTAAGCATAGTGAGATTGATTGCCATCTTGAGAGAGATAAGGTTCAATATGGAGAAGTTAAAATGATTCATGTGGCGTCTCAAGATCAGTTGGCAGACATTTTGACTAAACCATTAGGAAGAGCTCAATTTAGGTCATTGATTGCCAAGATGGGAA